CCCCCCCCCCCCCCCCCCCCGTCTGTCTCTCTCTCAGACAGGAGCTTTCTTTCCCCCAATAAATATATTCTGCTAATTAAAAACAAAATGCTTACCAGAGTCTGTTTACTGTTGCCTCTTGCATCCTTCTTATTCTTTCTATATTGTTTTCTTTTTACTGAAGTAAATTTCTTAAAGCCCTTTTACTGAGAGTCTATGAATGATAAACTATCTATGCCAAAACTTTATTTTGCCTTCACACTTTAATGACAATCTAGTTAAAAGCACAGTTCGAGGCTGGGTGTGGTGGCGCCTGCCTATAATCACAGCACTAGAGACTGAGGCAAGCAGATGGCTTGGACTCGGAGGCCAGCCTGAACCACATAGTGAACTCTTGTGTCCAAAGGGGAAAAAAAAGTCAAAATTACCATTAAAAAGTAAACATTAAAAAAATTTCCACACTGCTACTTGTCCCCCACCATTTTCAAAATTTTCCTTTTTTTAAAAAAATGTATTTAATATAGGGTCTCACTCCACAGATCAGACTTGTAGTGATCCTCCTGTTTTTAGCCTCCCAAGTGCTGGGATTATGGGCGTGTGTCACTATGCCCAGTCTCAGTTGCTGTCTCAGCGTGCCCCTGGGGCGGGGCTGGCATTCCTTTACTTTTGACTTTCTGTTTCTGTCCCTTAAGTCCACTGCCAGTCTTTCAGACTGTAAGGAGTCTGAATTTCTTTCTGGTTGCTTTTAAGATTGTTTTTGAAGGACCGGGGAGATGGCTCAGTTGAATAAGTGCTTCCCTTGCAAGCACAAGGGCCTGAGTTCTATCCCTGGTTCCACACACACATAAAAAAAGATTGTTTTTGAGGGCCAGTCAGATAGCTCAGTGGATATAAGTGCCTGCTTAGGCAGATGCAGGGACCAGGGATCGCTCTGGTCCCGCCCTGCAGGCCCCACCCCTGGGGGTCTCTGAGACAGTAACTGAGACTCTGGTGGCACGCCTGTAATCCCAGCACTGGGAAGGCTGACAGCAGAAGGATCGCCAGAGTCCTATCGGTGTAGTAAGACCCTATAGACTCTGTACTCAATACATTTTTTAAAAATGGCTTTTGTCTTTGATGTTCTGAAGTGTCGTGGATTTATATTTATTGTTGTCTTCATGTGCTTCTTCGGCTTGGGAAGGGTATGGCTTTCAGCACCTCAAGCCTTGCTGCGCCTGTCATCTCCTCCTGGAAGTCCATCCCAGAAGACCTCCATAGCACCTCGCTTTCCTGTTCTCCACACCTCCCATACTTTCTTGGCACATTCTGGGAAATTTCCTTCATTTCTGTTCCAGTAAACTAAAGTCTCTTCATCTGCTTTTTATGCTTTTAATTTTTATTTTTATTAGTCCATGTTTGTAGTACATAGTGATTACGTTAATGGGAGGAGTTGGTTCATCTGCGAAACACATCTTAATCCTTTTTATGTCCCCTTCCTCTCATCTGCTTTTTAATGATATCTTTAACTTGCATACTGAGTTTTTATTTCAGTGAGATTTTTTGATTTACAGAAGTTTTATTTGGTTCTTTTGCAAATCTTCCAGTTCTTTTTTCTTATGATTTCTACTCCTTTCTCTCTCGTTCTGTATAGAGCACAAGCAAATGTACATCAGCTAAATCTGCTATTTTTCTAGAAATCTGAATTCCTTTAGAAATATCCAAATGAAAATTAAGAGGTAAACTTGTAGGTAAGTCACAGGGTGGAACAGTTGGAGGCACGGTGAGCAGAGCTGCGGCCTTTGCACTGGCTCGGCCCTGAGCAGCTGAGGTGTGTGTGGTCCCTTGTGGTGGGCATGCAGAGGAGGGCCCTAGCTGAGCCCCTGCTGAGGAGGTAGACCCGAGAAGCCCTGGCGAGCAGCAGGTACAGGAGGGGTGAGAGAAAAAAGGCTTATGACAGTGCTGCTCAGGCTCTTGCTCTATGAAAGAAGGATGGTTCCATTCGCAGAGAAGCATGCTGGAGGAAAGGCACCCGCAGCAAGGAGGTAGGCCACAGCCTCATCGTAGACACAGAGCGTCTCTTCAGATGGTGACATCCAGCGAGCAGACAGCCCTCCAGACCAAGCTCCCGGAAGAGGAGTGTGGGCTACTTCTGTCTGAGAGTTTGTAGCATTTACACTTTCATAGTGGAAACTGGAGAAGGCTGAAGAAGTAAGTTGGTTCTGGAAGAATATATAGCATGGAGCGTGGAAGACTCCGACCTGCAGCACCTAGTGTTCACAGCGTGTGTTTTGGCAAAAGGCAGGAAAGTGACTACTAAAAGGAGAAAACTGTAAAGATGATGGAAAACTTGTGAGGAAGGAAGAAATCCAGGGAAGGAGATACTACCAAGACTTGGGGTCCTTGTGAGCAAGAAGAGAATGGTCCACAGGGGCCCAAAAGCAAAGCCTGAGAATCGGGGTTGGCTCTGCAGGGACAGAGGTGGGCCTGAGAGATCACTCCCCAGGCAGGAGGTCTGCAGAAGCAGGCAGTGGGTCAGGGGAGAGCAGCAGGGCCACACGGCTGCTCTGCCCAGTAGGAGGTTAAACATGACCCAGAAGTGAGGGAGCAGACAGCGGCTGAGAAGGGTTTTTGTTTTAAGCTGGAAAAGACTTGAGCATGTTTGTAGGGAAAGAATGAAAAGAAATTTGAGAGCGAGAGGAAGTTAGCAGTGCCAGCCTTCGAGTACCTTGATTTTACTCTTTCCAAGCTTCCTTTTGATCTGACAACCTTTTTCGCTATAGAACTCTTTTTTTTTTTGGCGGAACTGGAGTTTGAACTCAGGCCCTTGCGCTTGCCAGGCAAGTGCTTATTCTACTGAACTATCTCCCCGGCCCAAGAATTCATTTCTTCTAAGACGTGTGCTCCAAGTTGTCTTACCTCCAAAAGGTAGGATCTGTTAGAATCTTTCGTTGTAAATTAATCCCTAAAAATTTAACCAGAAATTTTTAATAAAAACTTTTCCTGAAGTCACTTCAAAGACTACCATTAAGAAGTTTACCTCAAATTGAAACAGAGGGGCTGGTGAGATGGCTCAGTGGTCTAAAACACCTACTTAGAACAAGCTTAGCAAAGCACAGGGACCGCGGTTCAGTCCCCAGCACCACATGCCAGCCAGCCCCGCCCCCTGGTGGGCTGAGCTGGCCACACACACACACACACACACACATAAATAAATAAATAAATAAAATAAAATAAAATAAAAAATTGAAACAGAGCTTGCAGTTTTCCAGTTTCAGAAAACTTTGATCATATTAAGTTGGGCTGACCAGCAGGGGTTTTATTGATTCTGGAAGAGGCTGGTATTTTGAAGAGGTGGCTACTTGAATACTGGCATTGCAAAGATTAATAATACATACTTACATAAAGTTCTATACCACAGCCTGATGAGTGGACCTTTTAACATTGCATTGAACCTGGGGATATAGCTCAGTGGCACACGTGCCTGCCTGGCAAGCGCCAGGTCCTGCATTTGATTGCCAGTACACACACACATGCGCACACGCACACACACACACACATTATGTGAGATTAACCGGACCCCCAAAATAAAAATAGACTGAGACTGACACTGTTCTTTCCTTTATCAGGCATACAAGCTGATGTTTAACCACAATAGCAAAGATGTTAGGTTTAATTTCTGTCCACACTGTTTTATTAGGGGGGTATTATGAGACATCTATTTGGTTGAACACCTACTTGTGTACTCATGGTGTGTGAAGTGCTTGGTTTTGTTTTGTTTTGTGTGTGTGTGTGTTTAATATAAGGTCTCACTACATAGATCAGACTCATAGTGATTCTCCTGTTTTCAGCCTCCCAAGTGCTAAGATTATAGGCACGCGCCACCTCGCCCAGTCTCAGCTGCCTTCCACACCAGGGGTGGGTCCAGCGTGGCATGCCAGGGATTGAATCCCAGCCACTATGCTCTGCCTAAGCAGGTGCTTTAGTTTGCTGGGCTATCTGGCTGACCCTCATCTTTCTATTTAGATTGGTTTGGAAAGATATGTAGCTTTTGAAATAGATATAAGAAAATATCTACCACCTAGCTCTTAAGCATGTAGACTAGAGTATACAGAAAGAAATTTCCAAGATTTAAAAAAAAAAAAAAAAAATCACCCTGGCTAGGCATTGTGTTACCTCCCTGTAATCCCAGCATTCTGGGAGGCTGAGGCAGGAAGGTTACAAGCTCCAACCCAGACTGGGCAATTGAATGACTTAGTAAGACCCTGTCTCAAAATTAAAAAAAAAAAAAAAATTATTTCAGTGAAGGCTCAGGGTTTAGTCCCAAGTACTGTAACAGAAAAATGAAGGGAGGAAGGGAGGGCAGGAGGGAGGGAGAAGGGAAAGGAAGGGCAGAGGAGAGAGAGACGAGGAAGGGGGGCGGGGAGGGGAGAAAGGGAAAAAGCAGAGTAAGGAAAATCACCCTGTTGGGATTTATAAAGCACTAATGAAATGTGCTGTATCTCAGAATAGGCCTGTACCTCCCCTCCAGAAATTAAATGTTGGCAGCGCTAAATACATTGGCTTTAAATTTCTTTAGGGTTTTTTTTTTTTGTTTGGTTGGGGTTTTTTTTGGTCAGTGATATCAGTAGGATATAACTATGTATAACTGAAAGGTTAACTCAGGTACAGAGATCCATAGGGACAAGAAATATCTCAACAAAATGCTTCATAAAATAAACTTTTTGGCCTAGAAGGAATTGCCCCAAAAAGCTTATAGAAAGTGACTGTTCACTTAATCTTTATAATATTTAAGTGACTGTGCTCAGTTGTGTTGATGATTTTTGTATATTTCTTCTCAGCTTGTCTGTAATGTTATACGTGATCTGAGTAAGATTATAAATATAAAGGAACAGGCTTAAACAGATACATTTGTGTCTGAGTGTTGCACCGCTAGAACTGTCCTTCAGGAGGTATATCTTAGAGAAGCAAATTCGGATATTTTGCAAACTATGAAAGGCAAATTAGGATATTTTGCAAACTATGAAAGGCAGTAAAACATAATAGTAGACTAATATCTCCTATTTCCCTTTTTGCCTTGTAGGAATATATTCGGGAACAAGTGGAGGTAAGCTTTTTTTCTAAATGTGCGGGTTCACAGAGACACCGTACACCAAAGGCTTCATTGTCCTGCCCCCTTCTCTTGTCAATGTAGCTGCTGCGGACCACTGGAAGCATCCAGGGGACCCTGCCACTGACGGTCCAGAAGGTGCTGGCCTCCCAGGCCTGTCACGGTAAGAGCCCCCATGGCCAGCTGCTGAGCACTGCGTCCTGAGTGATGGCAGTGCTGCAGTGATTACGAAAGAGGGAGGCAGAAGGCACATTTCTGCTGGCCCCTTGAGAAGTATGATTTAGGCCATGAAGCAGTACTCATAAAACTAAAGCCTAGAAAATAGCTTTCACAAATCTCAGCACCTCTGCTCGTGACTGGAGCCGGGAGAGACGCCTAGAAGAGGCACCCGTGGGCCAGGCTCTGAAGGGTGAGGATGAGGGGATCACTGTGGGAAGAGGGCGCAGCTGTGCAGACACGGGAACAGGGAGGCCCCAGCGTGATGAGCGACAGAGTGCGAGGAGATTGGGCTGCTAAGAAAGAGCAGAAGCCCAGCAAGTCACACCGAAACCTTTAGCTCTGCTCAGAGGGCATTACAGTCCCTGTAAGGAGAATTCGATTCGTTATAAGGAGAGTACGATGAACTGTAGAAAATGGTATCGGGGCACTGACTTTGGAATCGCAACCTCTGGGTAGTCCCCTGCAACTGTCGTTGGTGACAGTGGGGCTTGGTCCACTGACCGCGCCCCATGCCGCCATCTGCATCTGTCTCTCTCTTCACCTCTGGTCTCCCCAGCTTGGAAGCCACCACCCATCACCAGCCTGTCTGCTGCAGGGACCTCAAGTCTTTTGCCCTTTTCTGCTATACCGCACAGTTCATAGTTGCTGTCTTAAGCTAGCCTAAGTCTCTGTTCCACCCACCTCCACTGCTGCTTCCTCGTCCTTGAGATACCACATCTTCGTGGTTCCTCACGTCTGTTTGGCTCCTGCTCAGAGCCACTCATCCTTTAGCACCTGGGCGTCATCCAGAGGCATCCCCCTGTGTGTCATTCTTCAGCTAAAATGTGGTGCTGAGCAGCTGCTGCCCTTGCTATAGAAGTGCTGTACTTTCCATGGCCACGGTGGTCTGGCTTCGGGGACGGCCCTCATCTGCGTCTCCGTGGCTTGTCCCCCACCGTACTCCACCTTGTGCTTATGTCCTGACCTGCTTCTTTGGCCTTGTCCTTCCTGTGTACCCACTTCTGTCAGCCTTGGGCCTTCTCACTGGGCTTTCCTCTGCCTGAACTCCCTTTCTCTTCTTTTTTAACCCAACATTTTTTCGAGAAAGCATTTCCTGACCTCCTAAATTGGCTCCAACTTTCCTATTATGTATTCATATTCTATGTTTTATAGTAATTACAATTTAAGTTATTGTATAATTGTTCGCTTAGTGCCTGTCTCACCTGTTACAGACCATAAGCTTTATGAGGTAGAACATGTGTATCATTTACAGCTTGGCAAAGCGCCTCACACAGAGTTTATGCTTAAGAGGCATTTGTTGACTAAGTGAATTAGTCTAGGAATAAAAGCAGATTTTCACAGAATGAGAGTTTAAATTAGGAAGATTATTATTATGGAAATTAGAAAAAAAGAGCAAATAAAATGGGCCCTGTGGGGGGAAACCCAAGGCTGCTAGGGGAAGCCTGCGCTGACTTCAGCATGCCCTGCCGTGTGCATGTCAGTGTGCCTGCCGCTCTCCCTCTTGAACAAAGCCCTGAGGGCAAGATTCTCACTAGATAAGGAATGCCTCTTACCAGAACTGGAAGGGCAGGCCACAGCAAAGAGCTAAGAGAGGAGAGGCTGGTCCTAGAGCCTCACTTTTCCCCTTGGCAGTGAGTGCCCCACTGAAGCACTATGACAGCCATGTTGCAGAAGCTAAGAGCTGTTGCTCACCCAGGGTCAGCGCTGGCTTCGCCGTGGGCACTGTAACCTCCTGCTCTCTCTCTCATGTTTAGGGGCCATTAAGTTTAATGACCGCCTGAGCCCTGAGGACAGCTGTCGCCTTGTGGACGCCCTGTCCTGGTGTCAGCTGCCTTTCCAGTGTGCTCACGGGAGACCGTCCATGCTGCCGCTAGCTGATCTAGACCACCTGGAGCCTGTGAAGCAGGTACACTGTGACTAACGGGAGTAGCAGGAGACAGCGCATGCCCTGCCATCTGGATGTAATCTCTCTTCATGCTTCCCAAGTAGGAAAGTTCTGGAAAACTTGATGGGAAATTTGTGCAAAGCCTACTGATTTTGTCTTCCAGGTCACAAAGTGGAGCTTAGACTGAACGGTCAGATTATCCACATGATAGCTTTATATTTTTAACCTTTTTTTTTTTTTTTAATTTTTTTTATGCAAGGTCTCACTATTTTGTAGCACAGGCTGGTCTCGAATTCACAAGGATCCTCCTGCCTCAACCTCCAGAGTGCTGGGATTAGAAGAATGTACCACCATGTCTAGGTCTGAGGGTTTTTTTTGTTTTTTAATTAATTTATTTATTTTTTTATTTGGTTGGTTTTTCTGGCACCAGGGATTGAACTCTGGACCGTGCACTTGCCAGGCAGGAGCTTATGCCAATGGGCTATGTCCCCAGCCCTTGAGTTTTGTTTTGTAAATTCACAGCAATCCTATCTCAGTCTCTTGAATTCTGGATGACAGATGTGTGCCACTATGCCTTTTTACTGTTATTGTTATTGTTGTTATTATTGTTTCATTATGTAGTTTAGGTTGTTTTTAAACTATGTAACTCAGGTCAGCCCCAACCTCCCAAGTCCTGGGGGTTAAAGGTGTATGCTGACACATCCAGTACTTTTTAATTTTGAGACAGGCTCTTGCTTAATTGCTAAATTTCCTAGGTTGGGCTTGAAGGAGCTGAGGCAGAAGGATCATTTTGATTCTGAGACCAGCCTGGGCTACAAAGTGAGTTCAAGGCACCCTGCACAGAACGTGAAGCTCTCTCTCAAAAAAAAAGAGCCGCTCTGCCTTCTGCCCATCGTTCCACTGCTCTTGTGGTCTGGTGCAGAGCACGATTTCATTACCCCGAACCCTGCACAGACGCGCACTTCTCACCCTCTCTGTGCCCCACACACTGCCAACTGCTAAGCACACACTGGGTTCAGAAGAGGTGGAGTCCCTGCGCAGATGAAGCTCCCAACTTGGAGGAGTGAGGCCAGGCTCTCTGGAGACAACGCTTTCTCCTCCAAGAGTTTTCAGGGATTTATTCTGAGAAGTGTGCAATTCTCACCATCCACTTGTAGGCCCAACCGAAATGTTAGCCAGGTCCCTTGTGGGCAGTGGCCAAGGTCTCAAGGAGACCTGGCTGGGCAGCACAATGGGTTGTCGGAGGGATTAGAGATAATAAATGGCCGAGAATATACTAAGCTCTCGGTAATTGTCGCTTTTATCGTTATGATTACTGATTATCATTCAGGCCACACTTGACAGAATCTGACGAAGATTTTGTCAGCTGGTCAAGTTACCCATGCTGAACAGAAGAGCAAAGCTAAAGCTACATTCTTTCACGCACATCTTAAAAACTTTTAAGGAACCCCCACGTCCCCACCTACTTACTTATGTCAATACAATGGAGATCATCAAAGAAGGTGTCCCCTGCCAGGCCTCCATGGATAAAGAGCTTTGTCCCTGTTGCCACCATCACATGACCATGCCGGGGAGATGGAGGATTTCCAAGTGTCTCTGGCTGTGACCAGGTCTGCGTGT